ATATTATACCTTTATTTCCTTTCTTTTTCTTCCCTGAAACGGCAGGATGGGAGTGAGGTAAGGAAAATAATCCTGTCAAATTCAGAGCTCCTAATCTGACCTCAGAGGTACTATTCAAGAACTATTCAGAACTTCAGAGCAAAGTTTAAATGAAAGAATAATTAAATCCTGAAAGCAAACACAACATGGATTTACCAAAGGCAGGTTACAAAAACTAATTTAATATCTTTATTTGATATATTTTTTTAAATCGTTCCAGGGACAGAGGAAGTGTAGCAGATCAGTCATCTGAAGTTCAGTTAAGCGTGTGAAACTGTGCCATGCGAGGTATTAGGAGTTAAGCTTCAGAAGCTACGGTTTGGTGCAACACCTGTATGTGAACAGGCTCTGAAGAGGAAAACAAAGAGCAGCACTGAATGGAGGGCTGGGAGTTCCCCCAGAGGAGGTCACGTTCAGTGTTTGCGTTAATGATTTTTGGCACAGGAGGCAGTGGTGTGCAAGTCAAATGTGTGATGATACAAAGCCAGGTGTGGTCAACACACAGGAAGATCAAAAGACCATCCAGGAAGACCACGATCACCCTCAGAACAGGAGCGAATTGGATGGGATGGAACCTGATGAATGAATGGAAAGTCATTCAGTGGGGACAATAACAGAACTTCTAATTATAAGCTGGGAAAGCATTATTTGACAATGACAGAGGAGGGAAGCGCTTCGATGTGTACTAATAAATCACAGGATAATTCAGGATGCAAGGCTATTACTGTGGGAAATAAAAAGGCAGATGTAGCTCTGGGAAGACTCAGGGAAAGGACTCCTGGTAGAGAGAGAACTGCACAAGGCAATGGTGAGCCCTTTTCCTGCTTCACCACAAGTGAGCTCAGAGTAAATAAGGACAGAGGGAGCAACTACGCCTCTGAGAAATCTCCCAGTTTTCCTAGGGGAGATGGAGAGCCTGTTTTGGTAGGAGAAAAAGAAAGGATGGCTTCTTAGCTTGGTAGAATGAAGGTTGAGAAGAGATACAATAGCTCCCTGTATATGTATTAAGAACAAGCAAGAGCTAAAAGAGCTGTTTGAGATTTCAAGTTGCTGTAAGGATGACTGGGCATAGAGGAACTGGGAGCGATTCTTTCTTAACCATGAACAAGAGAATTAAGAGAATTAGCAGCAGTGGAGGCTGCAAAATGAGCTCTGTGCAAGGGACATTGCCCGAGAAGCACCACTTCTTGCTGCCACCGTGGTTTCTGTGCGGGTTTTCGGGGAGAAATGCTGCTGACTTGCAGAAACGTGGAGGATGTAACAGAACTGAGAAACCTCTGACTTTGCAACCTGCTCTTTTGCTTGAATGCATTCTTTGTTGACTTCACTCTCTCTTATTTAATTTCCCTGTATTTTATGGCATTGCAACAGACCTGATAAGACTAGCATGCGCTGAAGCTGAGCCGTTGCCCCACTTGTAATTGACTGCAGATGGTGAGCTTACCTTCCCTGTGGGTTGGTCTCTGAAACATTTTCTCAGTCTTAAAATACTCCACTTAGCTTCTTGTGAAGGGACAGAGGATGTTTTGTGCTTCCTTGTGGAATCAAGAAAGGAGAGGGTGGTTCTGGGGCTGCTGCATTTGCATAGTCCTGAAAGGTAGCTTTAACCCATGATAAATTTTGGTCTAATAACTGTGACCAAACGCTCATACATCAGGCCCACTGCCACCCCCTGGGATGGACAGCTCTAACAGTGCACGTGCTGGCAGAGCAGCGCTGCTGCTGCCACTGAAAAGAGCAAACAGGGAAAGGCCCAAAGCAAAGGAAATCCCAGCCCACAGCCCAAACAAGAAGGGCTCTGGAGCCTCCTGGGACGTTCATTAATCCAGCCATGGCTCAGACAGGCTGCCCGTTTGTTCTCACAAGCAGGAGCTGGACCGAGCACCTGCTCGATGCCTGCAGCAGAGCAGCGAGGGCAGAGCCCCTCTGGCAGGTCACAGCAGCAGCAGTGGTGTGACGTGCAGTGACATAAAGCTGGAGGTGGCACTGCGTGATCCAGGCTGCTCTGCCCCTGGCTGGAGCTGCAGGTTCACAGGGAAATAGCTGGACTTTGCTGCTTGTCATGCTGAGGTGTAGCTTCAGGGCTTAGGGCAGGAGCTCTGTGAACGTAAGCAATCCTCCCTGGAGGATTAGGAAATGAGGCAGTGACGGCTCAGTGCGCATGGGAAGAGGGCGTCAAAGCAGTCAGAAGGGACAGAGAGCATCTTGCCAGGGCAGCCAAAGCACATCCAGTATCCAAGGGCAGAAAAAAGGCTGCTTTGCCACAGTACTCTCAGGAATAAATCACTGGTGTTGTGGCTGCTTCATGTCAACCTCCTCCAGGTGTGCATTCTGCTCACAGCACTCTGCATAAGATGTCAGAATTAGCGCTCTGCCAATGTGAGCCTATCTATGGGGATGTGGGTGCCAAAGCATCACCTGTCCCTTAGCACTCAGGACGCTGCACCAGCTGAAAGAGATGGCCGGGACACCTCGCCCAGGAGCACGGTGACACAGAGCACCTCGGCTCACCCAACAAGCGGTGACAAATGCTTGGTGTGATGCAGAGAGCTTCCCTTATGGCAGGTACAGCTTGGTTCTGGCCCCAAAGTCAGGGCCTGCTGAGGGCTGGCTTTTTATGGGATGCCCCCAAACCCTGTGCCCGCAGCTGGCAGCACCACGTGCCAGGTTATTTGCACCGAGCAGTGTGGAGCCTGCAAGACTCAGGATCCCAGGCAGGTTTTGCAGTGTGTTCTGGTGCCTTTCCCCTGTCGGCAGCGATGGGAGCGAGGTGCCTGCCTCTCCTTGGCAGTTTTGAAAAATTTGCTCCGGATCTTCTCCCCCCTGCGGCCGCCGGCGCAGGAATGCAGTCTCCTTCGCCTGATTAGCTCTGTCTGTCAGTGGGGTGAGTCCCTCTCCTGCAGTAACCCGAGCTAGTGTTGAAGACATGCCTCATGCCTCCTGTCGGGTGGAGCAGCACCGCACCGAGCGCCCTGCTGGTGCTGCTTGCAGGGGGACGAAAGCCTGCTCCCCTCCCTCCGTGGTCTCACACCCGACCGCAAAGCCTTTGAGGGCACAGCCACAGCCGGCAGCCAGATACAGGGATCAAGTGGGAGGCTGAATTTCCCTTACATGTGGCTTTCTGCTTGGAAAGAGGAATTTGTGGCAGTGACCAGAGCACAGAGCAGCCTTCACGCTGAACAACCGAGGTGTTTGCGCTGTGCCAGCAGCCGTGCGTGTGGTGCAGGAGGGCGCAGTCAGAGTGCCCAGTTTTTACCATCCACCTCCTGTACTTCAGTTCCTGCTCCCTTGTACCTTTCACGCAGGCAGATTTCCTCCTGCTGTCAGACGAGGTGCATTGCATGTCCTGAGCTGATGTTTCAGGCGGTTTGAGTTTGCCTGGAAGCGGCTGCTCCCCACTTTCTGTACGTACTGAGGGGCACAAGCAGCTCGCACGGGTGAAACCAGTTGACCTTTGCTGTGTGCTGAGGCAGAAGGGCACAGAGGAGGGACCAGCTTGTGCTGTGACATCTCGGGCACGGCCAGGCTCCCTCCTGCTCCAGGTAGGCTTTGATGAGCAGCAAGCCCAGCCAGATACAAGCTGCAAGGGTGCTGCAAGGCACGGAGCTCCTAGCGCAGCCCCGGTGCCAGCAGACACCGCTCGCTGCCTGCTGGCAGCAGCACACGCACCCTTGGCTGCCTCTGCCGGCGCTGTGTGCTCGTAGCAAGGGGCTGTGCTGTCGGGAGAGGCACTGCTGCACGGCAGGGGACACACACAGGACCCCAAGGTGATGTGCCACATGTGGGAAGGCCTCCAGCACACGGGGATCCTGGCTCTCCTGCTCCGAGGGGCAGCCTGTACGGCCCTGCTCCTGCAGCTCCGTGGCTCTCAGCGCTGCTTCTTAAAACTCAGGTTGTTTTTTTCTGTTATTACCCAGCTTTCTTCCCAGTGCCAGTTTTCAGTTTCTGCTGTCATGCCTAGCAGAAGCCAAGCACTGAGATGTGTCTCGGTGTTGTCCATGCAATTTGCAGACGGGGTCTGCTGTGTTTCCAGTCTCCCACGCGGCCATGCAGGTACCTGTGCTGCTGCACCCCCGCAGCATTCGAGCAACCAGAAGTCGAAAGCTTCTTTTGAACGCAGGTTGCAAGATAAGACCTGCCTGATCTCTCAGCAGTTTTAACTGTCATAAATCCTGTGTGCTGAGGGGACAGCAGTATGAGTGCAGAGCAGCAGGAGGAGAGGCGCTTCCAAAATGTGCTGGAGATCTAGCAAAGGACCATCGGTCCCTGGCACCTCTTGGCACCAGACAGGACACCAGCAGGTGACAGGACAGCCACGTGCACGCTGTGTGTGTGGGACACAGCCAGGGCGCTGCAGGGAGGTGCCATGGCCTGGCAGAAGGCTCTGTACTTTGCTGCTTGAAGCCATTTCTGGGATGCTCCCATTGAGGTATTTTATCATGGCCCACGTCTTATTTAGAGCCAAGGTTACCTGCTGCCCAGAGCGCTGCCCCGAAGGTGTGGAAACCCTTCCTGGGATTCCTGTCTGGCCGGGAGGCTTTGGGGAAAGTCGCTTTGCCCTGCTCTGTGTCTGACTCCCCAGGGGCCACGTTCCTCCCTGCTTCCATTAAATGCTTTCCCAGCAGCAGCACAGCGGGGTGATGGCAGGTCACTGCTGCAGCCTGCTGCAGGGCACACAGCGGGGGGCTGACCGTCCTTGCCCTCAAACGCCTGGCTCGGAGACGTGCCCGTCCCACCCCTCACACTGTATTAGCACGACCTTTGGCATCTGATTTCCTCTCGGTAGGGCCTGTGGAGGCAGGAGCTGGCCTTGGTGAGGCTGGCCTGGGATGAGCTGGTGTTCCAGCTCTCCTCTGTCTCCTCAGCACAGCCTCGTGCCAGCTGGAGGCCCACGACGTGGGGTGCAGCAGCGTGCTTGGCCAGGAGAGCCACTGACCTTTGTCTTTCTCCTTTCCTTCCAGTCCTGGACGCACAACATCCAACGGGAGAAGGAGTTCCTGCGGAAGCTGGTGAAAGCCCGAGTCATCACCGACCTGACCAGTGGGATCTGAGCAGCCGCCGCCTCACAGGGAGGAGAGGAAGACGCACGCTGCAGCTCCGGGAGCAGGCACCGGCAGCCCCCCGCAAGAAGCCCACTTCACTGGAGACACACCGAGATGCCCGGGTGCTGCGGGAAGGCCCTCTCGCATCGCCGGTCTGCAGGAGGGCAGCACCTGCTGCCCCCAGTCCCAGAGCTGGCAGGAGGCGGGCAAGGGGCTGAGCGGGCACTTCTTGAACTCTGCATTGCAGACGGATCTCCTGTATCCAGAATTAAACGGGACAGACTCAGGAGAGAGAAGGAAGGTTTGTGAATAAAACGATCTGTGCCAAATGGGAGGTGACGCTGCCCCAAGGCAGCGGTGCCTGAATGTACAAAGTATTATTTTTTAAAGAAACTCTGCTGGAATCATACTAGAAATACCAAGGTGCAAAGCGAAATCTGCTTATGCACAGCCCTGCGAAAAGCTCGGCCTCGCCACGCTCCGTCTGCATTGTCGCTGGCCTCAGGCCTTTCCCCGGGAAAACAAATCCGTCCAAGACTTCAGTGTTGTTGGTGCTGCTATAATTTAAAGGGAGGGTGGCTTTCCCTCGTTCTCCACTTGGAGCTTCGCGTTGGAGATGAGCATGGGTTTGTTTTTCTGCACTTTTCCTCGCTTCCTGCGTAGAGGCAGCAGCGGCCACTTCCTTGGCTGTGTTTTCCGTAGCTGGTTGTCCTGCCCCGACTCTGCCCTGACCCTGGCGTGGAGCAGGGAGCTGGTGGCTTCCTCTGCCTGCAGCAGCCCCTCGCCGCCGTCCTGCGTGTCACGGCGCTGCCGAGCCCACCTCGCTGTGCTCGAGGCCTCCAGGCCCCTCGGGTTGTGCCTGCTGTGCGGGGCCCTGCCCGAGGTGGTGCAGGTCGGTGTCACTGCTCCTGGACTGCGCCTCGCTGCGCTTCGGGGGGGGAGAGGAGTGATTCGTTGTTTGGAAGGAGGTCAGATGTTGCGTGGATATCTGAAGCTTGGCAGTTTAAGAGCGGGCTGCCGAAGATGTTTTACGTTCCAGGCTCGATCGTGTTCCCTGGTCCGTGACCTCAGTGGTGGTGGAGCCTGCTGGCAAGGCTGGGGGCCTGCTGGGAGCCCTCGCCTTCTGCTTGGCCCCTGCTCACTTCATTTCCAAGCTCCTCCTGTGCTGCTCCTCCTGCTCTCAGGAGCACGTCCCTTCCTTTGCTCTCTTGGTCCCAAGATGCAGTATTTGCACATTTGATTTGTGTACGTATTTCAGAGGAGCTGGAATAAACTGAGCAACGTGGCCAAGCGCGAGGACGGCGGGGTGCTCTCATCCACCTGGAGAGCGTGGGCAGAAGAGGGATTGCGGGGGAAAATCGGGTGGAAATGGGCTCCGAGGCAGGAGCAGGCCACGCTGCGCCCACGCAGGGCACCATCCCCACGTCCCTGTGCGTCAAGGCCACCACGGGGGTCAGCAGAGGGGATCTGGGAGATGCTCCCTTCCCTTCCCCTTCCCATTTCCCTTCCCCTGTCCCTCTGGCCTCCCAGCTGGGCAATCCCTGCTCCCCCCAGGTACGTGCCTGCCCCCCAGGATGCTCCGTGAGGTTTCCAGCCCACAAAGCTGGGGCTTTCAGCAGGTTTTTGACCATCTGCTCTGGCAGATACTCACTTGAATGTTCTCCCCTAATTTTTTTTTGCTCAAGGGACTGGAGGTCCTGGTGCTGGACCTGGCCAGGTGGTGGCATCTTCTTGGTGCTCGAAACTGGGTCTTCACCTGCTGCTGGGGGAGCCCCAGGGCACCGAGGGGGGGGGGGTGGGCCCCATCCAGACACTACAGGGAGCAGAGGTGCTGGAGAGCAGGTACTGCGAGCACCCCCCGGAGACAGCAGAGCATCACTTTGATTTAGTCTGTTATCACTACAAACACACGGCACGGTCATCTTCCAACTCACTGCTCCAGTCTAGGGCCCCTGCTCTGCTCAGGTCCCGCTGGGAAGCTGTCCCTGCAGCGCAGGGGCTCTCAGGCTGCGTGGCTCAGGGTGACCACGGTGGGCCGGGACACCTGCAAGTGGGGACAGCAAGGAGGGAGGTGCTGGGGGGCCACGGCTCCCCTATACCTCGCTGTCCCGTTTGACCCAGGGCTCTCAGCAAGGACATCAGCGGGGCAACTTCATCCACGGAGCATCCCACGGCCAGGCTCTGCGGGTGATGCTGCCCCAGGGCAGCGCGTGGTGCTGGGCCTGGCTCCTGGAGGGCTCTCGGTGGCTGTCTCCTGGCGTGCACCTGCAGCCACCTCCCGCCCTCCGGGACGCCGCAGCCCTGCCAGCTCGGAGCGCTGCACGCGGGTCAGAGCAGGGTCAGTGGGACGGATGCGAGTCTTGGCCTCTCCCTCGCCGTGACTCACCTTTTCAGCTCGGAAGGGAGAGCCCAGGGGAATTCTCCACGGCCTAAATATAGAGCGGGGTTGCCTGCAGCACAGGGAGGCCAGCGGGGTGGCAGGGAACCTGCCTGGAGAGGGACCAGGAGGTCGGGGTGGGGGAAAACCGTGTGCCAGTGGGGCTTTGCTCCTGCTGGTGTGGGCAGCGGGGCTGGGGTGCCACCGTGCTGCTCCCTGCCCGCAGCATCACCCAGGTACGCACCTTGCCGTACCCTGGGCTTGAGCTCACGCATGCTGCATGGAGGCAGCACCACCAGAGAACGTGAGGCTGTGGGGGATCTGAGCCTGGAATCCCCCAACCAGCACCTCTGTGATTCCCGGTCCCCTTTCTGCTGGGAGGGAGATGGGGAAGGAGCAGGGAGGCTGGGGATGGGCAGCACCAGACGAGGGCTTCCAGGTGGGCTGGCAGGGAGGCAGCCACCACGCTGAGCTCTGCCAGCAGCAGCGGGGTCCCTGCGGTCGGTCTGAGTGTGCATGGGGCGCGGTGACCCCCTGCCACCCCCGGGTGCGGTGACAGGGCCATTACCCAGCCTGTGGTGTTGCACAGGGACCTGCTCCGAGGGCCGGGGAGCTCGCCAGTGCTGTACCGAGCTGAGATGTAAGAACTCAATGAGTTTTTAAAATTAGTTTTAGTTTCTGCGTTGTTTTTTTTTTTTAATTTTCCCTCTAGGTAGGGAGGGCAAGAGTCTTGCAGGCTCCTCCAAGCCGGCTTATGTCACATCGATTCAGTCATATCACAGAAGCAATAAAGCTATCAAACGAGCTTGGCTGGCCTCTTTCTTTTGCTGCCTTCGGCCATTTGTAGGGGAGGCAGAGGGATTCCCCCGCTCGGGCTATCCCCAGCCTGCTCCAGCTGCTGGCTCCCCCAGCACAGCGCCCCGAAGGCACCTCCTGAAACCAGGGGGGTGGCTCTGGGGCAGGAGAGGGCAGTGCTCCTCCTGCCTGCTGCCCGAGGGGCTGGGAGAGGGGCTCGGGGTGGGCGCACAAGGTGTCGGGGGGCAGCAGCCCCCTTGTACATGCGGGGCTGGCCGTTTGGAGGTGTTTTGCTGTCCCACCTGTTGAGCTGTGGAAGTCACCCAGCCTCAAACCACCGCGTTCCCGTGTCCTGCTGGAGGGAGCGATGGGGGCACCGCAGGCACCTCTGTGCCCCTCTGAGCAGCGGCAGAGGCTGTCCCAGCCGCCCTCCCCTTGTGGGAAGCACTCGAGGCACCAAGCCAGGGCTGGAGGGGACAGAGAGGGCCCCGAGACCCTCGCTCTGATCCTCCCCATCAAAGCACACCGTGCCTGACCTCGGGGCACACAGAGGAAGCCAGGGTGACGGCGTCCTCCCTGCGGCCACCTCCCTTTGGGCCTCTCCGGGGGCCTCCCCAGCAGCGGGGCCGCTCAGCACCCTGCGGGTGCGGCCCCGGGGAAGGCAGGTGTCCGGCACAGCGACCTTCTCGCCGCCGCGTCCAGGAAGGAAGCAGTTTAGGAAGCCGGGGGCCGAGGCCGTGACCGCCTCCAACACCTGCCAGGGGCCCGGAGGGAGGATGTGACCCCTGCCGTGGCCCCAGCCGTGCTGGGGAGCTTCCAGGGCCGTGGGACGAGTCAGGGCCGGTTTCGTCACTCGGGGGAGCTGGGGGGGCTGCTTCCAAGTGGGTGACAGGTCTGACGGACACCAGGGGTGGCCTCCTGCCAGCACTGGCGGGACACTGCGGAGGCGACTGCCTCCCGGGAGCACGGCTACAAGTTATGGAGCCCCAGTTGGAGAGGGGAGCGGCTGGAGCTGCTCAGACCCCTCTTCTCCACGCTCCTTTTCCAGACCCTAACGGAGCAGAGCCACCACTGCCACCCCCGCACGTGGCACGGACCCGAGCCGGGGAGCAGGGCACGCGGGGACAGCCACGTTAGCAGGAGCAGACGCTTGGTTCTGGTAGCAGATGTCCCCAAAGGAATCACGTCGCCACCGAGACAGGGACAGCGCAGCCGGCCCGTCTGCGTCACAGCTCTGCTCCCCACGTGCTTGGTGGCGAGCTCCGTGCTCCAGGGCACAGAGAGAGCCAGGGCCTCCGGGTTTATGGGGTGTCAGCCACAAAGGGGGCACCCCCAGGAGGGGACAGAGGGCAGGCTGTGCACAGCCACCCCGGTACAGGACCGGGGACACCGTGGGCACCACAAGGGGTCCCCTGGACACCCCGCTGTGCCATGCCCACCCCCAGCATCACACCCAGGGCCAGCTCCCAGCTGAGCCGGGACACGAGGGGGCACAAGGACCAGCCCAGCAGTGTGCAGGGAAGGTGGGAAGGGATGGGGCACCCTGCCTGGGGCACCTTGGGCTGTCACCAAGCCCCACAGGCACGGCCAGGGGCCCCAGGGCAGGACGTGCCACCCCTGGGGAGGCTGTCCAAGCAGGCAGTCCCCTTACCTCAGCCTGCCACCCTGCGAAGCAGAGTCCCATTCCCCAACCCCATCCCTGCCAATTCCCCACCCCAGGGCCATCCCTGTGCCCCCAAACCTCAGGAGCAGTCCCAGGACACAGCAGCGAGACCCCCACACGCCATGCTCAGCCCTCTTAGGGCAGGAACGGTGCCTCCGGACCCTCTGCCACCCCGCTAGCAGCACCGGGGACAGCTTGGCCACCACCCCCCGGGCCAGCACATTCCCCGGCAGGTGCTGCCGCGGGAGGGATGCGGGAGCTGTCATCCTGCGAGGGATAATCCGGCGAGACGAGGCCAGGCCAGGCCAGGCAGCCTCGTCTTGTCTCAGCTCACACTCCTCCAGCCCTTCCAGACAGGGTCCAGGGCGGCGGGGAAGCTGTCAACGCCGCTTTGGGATCGGGGAGCAAGGAAGGAGCCCAGGCCAAAACCCCAGGGGCTCCCTGGGGCCGGCGTGCAGCCACGGCGTGGCCGCTGGCCCTGCTCCAGCCAGGGAGAGTTATATAAGCCCGGGGAGGCTGCGAGGAGCTGCCCGGGCAGATGACACGGCCGGCAGCATCCCGGGGCGCGCAGCCTGGACGGACGCCTCCGGCCACCGGCTGCGGGCAGGGCCCGGGGGGCCAGCGAGCCATGAGGGCTGGCCCCGGGGGGCTCGGCCGGGCTGGGCTGTGCCCCCACGGCCAGCTCCGGCCAGGGGAGCACGTGTGAAGCGAGGCCGAGCAGAGGCGGCCCTGGGATTTTGGCACGTTCGCCAGGAGCACTCGAGAGCCCCACGATGGACGTGGAGGGCCCTGGGCGGTGACGCAGGGACTCGCACGGGCTCGGCTCGGCTCGGCTCGGCTCGCCAGCCGGCCCCCATGTCCCCGGGGCTTGCGACGGCCCCGGCGGAGGGAGGCAGGGAGGCGGCGGAGGTAAGGAGGCTGCCGGCGGGTGGCCGAGCCCGGGGTGGCCTCGGGGGCGCAGGGGCGGGCGGGGAGGCAGGGCGGGGAGCCCGGACTCCTCCTCCGGAGAGGCGCACGGGTGGCCCGAGGGGGCTCGGGTGCGTGGGGACGGGCCCCGCTGCGCCCACGCCGAGCCGCGGGGGCCCCCACGGGGCCGCAGGGGGGGCTCCCCCCGACGCCACGCGTGAGGGTGCTCCGTGGGGCCGTGGACCCCACCCCAAACCCTCCCTCGCCCTCCAGGGGATCCGTCCCGTTCGGGAAGGGCTGAGCGTGGCCCCGCACGGGGGGGGCCCCGGGTCCGTCCTGCCTGTGCTGCGACCGCGCTGTCGGGGCAGGGAGCCGCCCGGGGAGCCTCGCCGCGGGGCGTCCGTCCGTCGGTCCGTCCGGGAGGGCTGTCCGGAGGCTGTCCGGCCGCCCGGTGCCGGTGGAGGTCCCGGTGCCGCTGCGGGTCCCGGTGCCGGCGGGGTCCCGGGGCCGGCGCCCTCCTGCTCCCGGGGCGGTGCCGGCTGCGGGGCGGGCCGGGGGGTCCCGGTGGCGCTCGGGGCGCGGTGCCGGTGCCGGTGCCCGCCCCGCCGGTCAGGTGACGGCGGCTGGAATTTGACACCGGCGGCGGCGGCGGGAGCGGGATGGAGCCGCCGCTGCCCCGCACTGCGCGCCCGCCGGCACCGGCACCGGCACCGCACCCCGGGGCGCACCGGGACCCGCACCACCGACCCCCGAGGCGCAGCGGGAGCGGCACCGGGAGCAGCACCGGCGGCGGCACCGGCAGCGGCGGCGGCGGCGACGGGAGCCGGTACCGGTGCCGGCGGGGCAGCGCCGGCCCCCGCCCGCGCCCCGCCCCGGCGCGGCGGCGGGGGGCGGCGGGGAGCGGAGGCGATGCGGGGCGGCGGCGGCCCGGGGGATGCTCCCCGCCGCGGGCACGGTGAGTGCGGGCCGGGGCGGCGGGCGGCGGCAGCGGCCGTCCCAGCCCGCCGGCAGCCTACGGGGAACCGGGGCCGGGGGTAGGGGGGGAGAAATAAGGGGGGTCCGCTCCGCCGCCCGCCCCGCCGGCAAAACCCGCGGGGCGGCGAGGGGGGCCCGGACCACCCCCGTCACCCCGGGCAGGTCCCGGCCCGGCGGCTCCCGGGGCTGCCCGAGCCCGGCCCCGCGGTGGGAAGCGCTCGGGAGCCGCGGCGGGGAACGGGGCTGCCCCCGCTCGGGCCGGGGAGAGGCGGGGACCCCGCGGGGGTGCCCGGGGGCACGGGGCCGGGCTCGCCCGCCCCTTCTCGGGCTCACCCCTTCAGGCACGTCGGGGGAGTCCCTGTCCCGGCTGCCCGGGGCCGGCCGGTGAGCGGGGCAGGCAGCTCCCTCCGGGCCGGGCCGCCCCTGGGGAGAGCCCCGGGACCGGGGCGCGGGGACCGGAGCTGCCCCCGGTGCCCCCGGGCGGCCGCGGCTGCTTCCACGCGGCGGCAGCTCCTCGTCCGTGGGCCCCACGTGTCCGGTACCGGCCTCCCCCGGCCCTGTGGGGCAGGTGCCAGCCCCGTGTCACCCGCGGGCTTCCTTGGCGACCCCTTCGCAAGTCCTACAGCGCGGTGGGACGCCGGCCCCCCGCCGGTTCCCGGTGCCCGCAGGTGCCGGGGGAGGTCTCCGGACATCGCCCCACGCCGCCAGCGAGGCCCGGCCTTATGCCCGGCCCCAAAGCGGCCCCCCCGGGATGCTGGGACCCTCGTCCTGGTGCTGGGGCTCCCCAGCGGCCGCCGCGCAGTGTATGTGGGCTGCAGCACCGGGGCCGTCCCCGCACCGTCCCCCCGTGCCCCGGGACGGGCCCCAGGGGCACGGCGCTGCTCAGCCCCGGGGGGGGACGCGTGGGTTGTGGGGGGGCTGACCCGAGCGAGGGCAGCTCCTCGCGTGGACCGGCCCGATCCCGACCTGGGAAGAGCTCCGGAGCCTGATAGTGGCCGGCCGGGGCTCTCCCAGCCGGGACAGGAGCAGGATCCCTCCCGGACCCCCTCCAGGAGCCGGGGCTGCGGCTCTGGCATCCCCGCGGGGCGCTCGGGACCGGGCCCGGCTGTTCCCCGTTCCCCCTGCCCACGGGGGTGCGCGGCCAGCGCGGGGCCGTGCCGCCGGGGGGAGGCTCCCTTCTCCCTCCCGCTTCTCTCGGCGGATCCCGGGGCCGTGCTGCCGCCGGCTGGGCGCAGCCCGCAGTGCAGCTCGGCCCCGCCGCCCGTTCACCGGCTCCCGGGGCAGCTGCGCCCCGCTGGGGCCGGGCCCGCAGCGCCCGGTGCCCCGCCGCCGCCCGACGGGGCGGGCAGGGCGGCCCCGCCGCACGGTGCCCCCGCCGGGACGGGGCTCCAGGAGCGGCAGCCCCGCAGCGTGGGCCCCCAGCCGCTGTGTCACCGCCTGGCCGCTGGCCCGCAGCCGGCGAGGGCCCCCGTCCCGTCCCGCTGTGCTGCTGGGGCCGGGGGGCCGCGGTGGGGCGGTGGGAGCGGGGCCGGGGGGCCCGGCTCCTGCTGGAGGGGGCCACGGGACCCTCGCCGGGCCCCTCCGGGGGTGCCGGCCTGGGAAAACGGTGACCTGGCGGCAGCGGCTGGCGCGGGGCCATGGGCCGCCACGGGAGCGATGCGCTGCGTGGGCCGTGCTTGGCCAAGCTGCGGCGGCTGGCGGGGCTGGGGGGCCTGGTGCCAGCCCTGCCTGCCGTGGGGACTGCATCCTGCCGGCGTGCAGAGGGGGGGTTCATGCGCCTGGTGGTGCCTGTCACAGCCCCTTGGCGTGGCACGGCTGGGTGCCACCCACGCAAGGTGGCGGTGGATGCAGCAAGCGGGGCTTGGGGCCTGGCGAGCATCCCCTGAGATGCTGCTGGGGGTCTGCGGGGACTGGTTTTGGCTCCCCATGCCAGCATTGCCCCGCTGCTTCCCCTCTCTTTTTGGCCAGCAGCGCTCTCCTCAGCATATCCCAGCTTTGCTCCATGGCAGGAGCACCTGGGATTTTCTGGGGTAAAGCCATGGAGGGGACAGGGGGAACCCTGCTGCTGCGGGATGCCACTGAGCTCAGGCACATCCTGAGCGATGGGGATGCAGCAGCAGGCCAAGAGCTGGGAGCCACCTCCGGGGAATCCAGGCTTCCCCACTCCATGCTTGGGGCACTGAGGAGCGGGGGCTTCCCCGCACCCCACACATGTGTGGGTGCAAACTGGAGCTGTCCCTGCACCTCCCAGGGGCCCACAGCACGAATTCCCCTGTGCAGCAGGGACATTGAGCACTGAGCGGTGGCCTTGGGGTGAATGGCTTTGGAGAGCCCAGCGTGGTGTGCTGCTGTGTCCCCATGGGACCTGCCTGTCCCACCCCTCGTGGCCCCATTTGCCTGTCCACGGGCTGCCCAGGGGCTGCACGCCCCAGCTCCCAGCGCTGCACAGGCAGCGTGCCGGGGAGCCAGCGCGGGGCCGGGGGGTGGCCGCACCGGGGGACCCTGCACTAATGGATTTGGAGTTTCCAAGGTCAGGCTCCCACCGCGAGCAAGAAAAACATTCCCAGGGAAGGGCCATGGGAAAGGGCCCCCCCCGTGGCGCTCCCAGTCCCAGCAGCTGCCTTACGGCACAGCCTGGCATCCCGTGCCGCTCGCGCGAGGAGGCGGCTGCGTCCCCCCGAGGAGAGGTGCTGGGCAAAGTCCCTTCTGCCAACATCTCCGGGGAGGGAGACGTGGGGGGCGTGGGGGCCTGGCTGTGCAGGGAGGGGATGGGAGGCATTGTGGGGTGCTGGGGGTGAGGACAGCACGTTTGGCAGGGGAGAGGTGTGCCAGCTCCCAGCCAGTTTGATGGCCTCTCCCGTTTGCCACTGGTGTCTGGGTGGGCAGGGACGGGTGTTGTCAGCACCAGCTGCGGGTGCCCACCCTGTGTGTGCTGCACGGGCACTGACCAAACCCCTGTGCTTGCAGCCAGCATGGAGCAGCGAGCAGGGCCACCAGAGCCAAGACCTGCAGGACCCAGCACGCATCCGCAGCCCAAGGTGAGCCCAGGCCTGGCCACCCAACGATGGCCAGGACCCCCAATTCCCGTCCCCATCCCCATCTCCACCCCTGAGCCCGGTGCTCACCTCGCTGTGCCGTGCTGTGTTGCAGGAGGGGACGCTGTGGGGTGTCCTCGCCATCCTCTCGCTGCTGGCCGGGCTGGCCACGGGTGCCCTGCGAACCCCACACTGCAACGAGACGCTGGATGCAGCCCCCACGCCAGCGGGACGTGGCCACCGCCAGCCCCAGCGCGGAGGACGGCGTGGAGATGCCGCTCGCCTGGAGCCAGCTGCACGGTGCGTGTTGGGGCAGGGGGGACACCCCGGGGCTGGAGGGACGCTGTCAGATGTGTCACAGCCCAGGCACATGGTGGCCCTGAGCATGGGGGAGGTGGCTGGGTGCTGCAGTGGGTGTCAGCAGGGGACAGTGCAGCTTGGTGGTCCTGGAGGGACAGGGCTGACGGTGCCATCTTGCTTGCCCGCAGGGGACAACGTGACGACGGGGGCCCTGGGTGCAATGGAGCTGGCGGAGGACCTGCTGCTGCGTGCCGAGCGCTCACCGCCAGGAACCAGCAAAGCCAAGAAGGGGGCGAGGAAACCCTCGCGGGGGGCCCGCGGGCGCAACTGCCACATCCGCAACCTGATGGTGAAGGTGCGCGACCTGGGCCTGGGCTTCAACTCGGACGAGATCGTGCTCTTCAAGTACTGCAGCGGCTCCTGCCACCGGGCAGCGCAGCAACTACGACCTGACGCTGGGCAGCCTGCTGCGGCAGCAGCTCATCGTCCCGGGCCCGCAGGAGCGCATCCTCAGCCACCCCTGCTGCCGGCCCACCCGCTACGAGGCCGTGTCCTTCATGGACGTGCAGAACACGTGGCAGACGGTGGAGAAGCTCTCGGCGGCCGAGTGCAGCTGCATCGGCTGAGGGGGGGCTGCCGGCTCAGCCCCGGCTCGATGCATGCTGGCAGCCCCCAGCACGTGGCGCTGGCACTCGGAGGAAGGCAGGAGGGGCCGGTGCCCCCGGTTTTACGTGGCCACGAGGGACCGAGGCAAGCTGGAGTCGTGACAGAGGGGGTCGGCAGCAGAGCCCCCGCCCGCTCAGTGCCAAGCAGCCGGTGCCACCGGCTCCGTGGGTCCTGCCTGGGTGCGCCCTTACCTGGCTCGGCCCTGGGAGAGGAGCCGCAGGGTGACGGAGCATTCCCACCACCCCGTGCCCTGCCTGGACTGGTGCTCCCACACCCCTGCCAAGCATTGCCTGGGATTTGGAGGGGGTCAGGAAGGGGCACCCCGGGACTGGGGGTGGCCGGAGCCACCCTGCGGGGAGGGGGTGTCCCCAGGGGCAGGGGCGCAGCGGGGCCAAACCGCACCGGCATGGGGCAGCGCCCGGTGCTCCGCAGGGCACGGGCACCCCCGGAACCCCTGCCCGGCTCCAAGAAGGGGCTGCAGGGTCCCTCCCCGCGGTGCTGCGGCACTAAACTATTTATTACTCTAAATTATTTATTTATTGTTCTCGAGCGGCAGCTCCTATTTATGACTTTGGGCCCGCGGGGGCCGGGTGTAATTTAACCCCAGCGCTGATGTGAAGCCCTGGGGCTGCGGCCAGCAGCGCCCCGTCCCCATCCTCGGGCTCCTCGTGCCCCCAACCCTTTTTTTTTTTTTTTTTGATTTTTTTTTTTTTGGTCGTTTTTCTATTATTTGTAAGATTTGAGGATAAACTCTATTTTTGTACAGCCGCCTTTTCCCGTAGCAATAAAGCGATGGGCCGCGCGTCCGACCCCGCTGCCGGGTGCTGGCTTTTGGAGACGGGGAGAGGGGGTCCGGGTGCATGGAGAGGGCGGGGGGGGGACCTCGCTCCGAGGGCCGGGGCGGGGCGCGGGGCCGGGACTACGGCTCCCGGCGGTCGGTGCGGCCGAGCCCGGCCCCCGGTCCGCCCGGTGGGGGCGGTGCGAGCCGAGCCGAGCCGTGCGGAGCCGAGCGGGGCGGGAGGGAGGCGGAGGCGGGTCCCGGCGCCGTCCTGCGCCCGCCGCCGCCGCCGCCCAGCGCCGCCGCAGCCATGGAGCGGAGGGCGGAGGCGCCGCCGCAGGGCCTCGACTTCACCGTGGAGAACGTGGAGAAGGTGAGCGGGGCTCGGCACGGCTCGGGGTGGCACGGCACGGCTCGGCACGGCCCGTTCCGGTGCTGCGCGGAGCGGGGTTTCGGTGCCCGGCTTGGCACGGCTCGGCACGGCTCGGCACTGGCACGGCTCTGCGCGGTGCCCTCCGTGCCCAACGGAGCCGCTCCGTGCGCCGGGGAGAAGCCGGCAGGGGGAGGAAGATGATGAGGCAGAAATGGGAGCGGGAGGAAGGGGGCGCGCAGCCCGCGGGGCGCGGGGGGCGAGCGGCGCCGCACCGGCAGCGTCCCCAGCAGGCGGGGAGGGCCCTGCTCGGGAGAGCTTCCTCGCCCCGCAGTGCCTTCCTCACCCCCAGCGTCTTCCTCACCCCCCCCCCCCGGCCTTGTTTCAGCCCCCAGTGCCTTCCTCGCCCCGTGCCCGGCCCCCCCCGATGGTCCCCTGGGGTCCCCAAGAGGGCTGCGGAGTGAGGGGGCAGCCTCTGGGGTGCTGAGGATTGGGGTGCTGGGGAGAACTGGGGTCTGGTGGTGGCACTGCTGCTGGGGATGAGTTCCTGCCAGCCTCCAAAGAACCCAAAATTTGTCATGGAGAATGACCCGAAATCCATCGTGGAGACCTAGCGGGGTACCCAAGGGGCAAACGCTTCCCCTGGGTGATGGTGGAGGTGCTGGGGCAGGTGAGGGGCGAGCAGCGAGGGAGCACAGCTTCCTGCAGCCACCCGTCTCATCAAGCATCCAACACCTCGATCCGCAGCCGGGTCCCCAGACAGCCAGCGGGAATCCCAGCGCCCTCATTTTCCCTGGATAAGAATAGCCCCAGCTTCCTGCCAAAGCGGTGCCCACAGGCGCGCTGGTGGGCACATCGCCGGCATCCCACACCCCTACCTGGCCTGGGGAGGTGTCAGAGCACGAGCCCCAGTCTATGGCCAGGCACTGGTTCCTTTGTGGCCGCAGGTGACACAGCCCACTGGTGACACCGGGATGGAGCATGGCCCTGAGGATTACCCCACCTCTGCAAAAATGCTCCATTAACGCTACCTTCCGCTGCTTAGCCCTCATACAGTCAGGGACACTGGATAATTTTCCCTTGATTTCCCTCTCCATCAGGCACAAACCACCTCTTTGTCTGCACCAGCCACGAAGCTGGCTCGGGGAGGGTGGGCAGTGCCCGGGGGGCAGCCTGGCGCGGGCAGCACAGAAGCGCAGCGCTCCCTCCCTGCGCTGCGCCGCATTCGGTCTCCCGACGCCGGGGAGGAGGCAGATCTGCCCTCTAGGATGCTTTGGCTCCCATCCCCCTGCCTGCCCGAGCTCTCGCAGTCGCAGGCTTTGCCATCGTTGGTTGACGTCCCCAGGAGATGCAGCTGCAGGCCGCGGGGGGGGCAGCGCGGGCTGGGGACAGGGAGGGAGAAACGTGGGGTGGGAGCAGAAGGAGCCCAGAGGCTGAGCATCTCGGCCCCCCCCCACCGTGTTGCCTGTCAGAGGGGGGTGGCGGGGTGTTTCTGACACAAATCCCGCAGAATTCGGCTCTGGCTGGGGGCTGGGCAGGTGGGAGGGCGGTGGGCAGAGCCGCCTTGTCAGAGTTGGTACTGACAAATAAATGATGTTCCGCCGGCCTGGGCTTTTCTGCCTGTCAGGTTTTGTGCACGGCTCTATTAATAACGTTGAAGGCTGATTAAAGCCAGGGTTCGGCTCCGCGCTGAGTCAGTCGGTGCGAGCGCTGGGGCTGGAGGCAGGAGGAGGGCTGGTTAGCATTTAGGGCAGGGGGTCAAGGCATCTCCGGGTCCCCATGGTGGGAGCCGTCCTGTAGCCATCGTACCCGGTCTCTGGCCAGGCAGCACCCGTCTGATGTTTTTAGAGGCCAGGCAGTGCCCATCACGCTCTCCTGATGATTTTGGAGTAGACAGTTCCCATTTTTGGAAGGCCCATCCATACCCCCTTGTTATTTTTTATGCAGATATTGGTGTTTTTTGCCGTGTTTTCCTCCCGGAGCTCCCCCTCGACACGGAGGAGCGGGGCTGCGTGGCGGCGGGGCCGTTCTGCTCCGGTTGCTGTGTCAGGGCGCGCAGGGCTCTGGCCCGCGGCCGCTTCGTGTTTGCTGCCAAGCCTGACCTAGATGCTGCTCTGGCTTAAGCACAAGGAGAGCAGGCTGCGGCCGTGCTGCGCCGACCCGCTGGGCACCCGGGGGCTCCGGGCTGGCACCGCTTCCCCGTGCACCTGCTGCTGGGCTGGAGGGGCCTGAGATAAGGCGAGGCTGAAAGATCCAAGGGCTTCGGGCTTCGAGGGTGGTTTGCCTCCCCGGGCCTAAACGGTGCAATCTGGCTCGTGAACTGTGTGTGCTTTTTGGTGCCCAGGGCTGTCCCCGACTTGGCTGGCAGCCTGGTGATGGGTGACGGTACCATGGGGAGGGGAAGCTCCTGCTGCGGCCCCAGCTCTGCTCTGTTCAGGATGGGTTGCAAAGGCTCCGTCTCTGCTGGCTCTGTCTGTCCCACTGGAGCAGGGGGAGGCTGCGTTGAAGGACCTGTGCCTTGTGGTTTGGTTTGCCTTGGGTCAGCATTGGTAGCACCTTCCACTGCTGTGTGGTGGTAGGGGCAGGAGGAGAGGGATGAGACCCTCCTCACCTGGTTTCAGTGCAGCTGAATTTGCTGTAGCAGAATGCCCCTTTTTGAAATAAGAGGGAACCCAGGGCCTTTCTGGGGGAATTTCCCAATTGCAAGCTCCAAGCTCTCCTTTTTTTTTTTTTTTTTTTTTTTTTTCTTTAAGCCTTCCAGGTTTTTCCTCCTTTGGCCTACCTCTCATCCTCTGGGGTGCCACTAATACCCACTGACATCTTCTCCCTAGCATATTAACAGCGTGGCATCTCTGAGCCTTTCAGATGGCTGTGCACCTCCCTGGAGGTGCCTGGTGAATGCACGGCATCTCCAGCAGGACAAGGAGGTGGCGTGTGGGGAGCTGGTGTCCAAGTCAGTGGTGGCTATGGGGTGGCTTTGGGGGCTGCTTGTGGGAGATGCTGAGGCTGGGTGAGGTGGCCGCTGCCAGGGCTGCCTTCAGCCCAAGGGAAGGGGGAAAAGAAACCCAAGTGCACCTGGTTTCTTTGGAAAAATGTTGTTGACTGTGTTGTGATACATGATAACAACAATTATGGACAGTTTGGGGTGAGGGAATGGTGCTCCCTGTCCACTGCACTGCTGGCAGCAGCTTGCCCGGCTGTTCCTCAGGAGCCTGTCTATGCCTGATGGAGCATCAGTGCCTGTGGTGGTGAGTTAGGGACCCTGGGGGGATGTTCTTGCAAAATCGAAGGAAGCAAGGAGTCATCTCGTTTGCCATGTAACCAGAACCACCCTTGGCTGAGCACCTGGCTCCTTCCTGTGTCATGATGGCAGTCAGGTGGGAGGCCGGCACGTTGCTGTGGCTGCCAGGCCTCCGCTGTGCTCTGTAACACCATCCTGACAGCCCCTGGTCAGCAGTGAGCTCTTGTGCAGGGGGAATCGGTGGGGCTGGAGCCTGGGGGCCTCAGAATGATTCTGAGGTGAGAGGGAGGAGTGAGACGTGGTGGGCAGGGGCGCTCCTGTCCTGGGCTCTGCGCTCCCAGCTCTCCTCTCCAGTCCCGCTCACCCATCGCTTGTGCAGGGCCCGGGGGGGGGTGGCAGGTGCCCTGGGGTCCTTTCCAAGCCTGGAGCACGCCTGTCCCTTGCAGCCTGCCTGTGCCAGGGACCACGCTGTCCTCTGAGAGGATTTATCCACAGCCGAGCTGCTGGGGGGCTGCAGCACTGTACCCACTGCCAGCAGGCCGCGTGGGCAGGCTGAGGGTGAGGAGCGGCCGAAGCGGCGGCGCGTTTTTGGGAGAGGGGAGCGAACATGGCTTTATTTCACCTTCCTCATCCTCCATGCTTCGGCAGGAGGCTGCTTTCTGCCCGGCTCCCCTGCCATTTCGGAGGGAGGCTGGCAGGCGTGCGGGGGGGGGGGAGGCGGGATGACGTTCCCTGCGCTCGGCAGAGGCCGGGTAATGGCTGTGCCGCTGCAGGCCCGGAGCGCTGAGCGTGCGCTCAGCTGGAAGGGAGGGCGACAGGCTGCAGCAGGAGGCTGGAGGCCGGCCCGAAGGAGACATGTCGCTGCTGCCCTCGGCCCGGGGTGCCAGGCACAGAGCAGAACCGGAGTGTGTTTGCACGGGCTGCTTTCCCTGCCCGGGTACCTCTGTTGGCTGCAGAGCCGCCCCTGGAGACGCGGTGTCCCTGCTGGGAAGCAGCAGGCAGCTCGCTCAGTGCGTGGGGCTCCTGTCACCCCTCAAACGGAGCTGGCAGGCCCTGCGTTCATCAGGCACCCTGCAGTCGGGGACAAATTGCCGCGGCTGTGCTCTGCGGGAGCTGCAGGGATGAGGGCTGCAGAGGTGCTGAGCTGAGAGCAGCTGCTGCAGCTCCTTCTCCTTGCTGGAGCCACGTTGTGAGCTGATAGCCGTGATCCCCCCGGGCTGCTCCCCCTCCTGCCTTCCAGGGGGACCAGAGCGGGAGCTCTGACCTTGTGGGCAAGCTTCTTCTGGAGCTTGAGTGGCTGACACCACCCTGGTAGCTGAAGCCCAAAGGCTCTGACCACAGCTTTTTAGAGCAGGGAAGGCCCATAATAACAAGCTTGAATTATTTTCAGCCATGCAGAGATGATGTTGGAGAAAGCTCG